TATACTGAAAACCCAACTTCTCAAGATTCAGATGAAAGGTGATGAAACTCCAGAGGCTTCTCAAGTATTCAGATGCTCTAGCTGCCATTGGCAAACATGTCAAAGATAAAGATCTCGTTATGCTTGTAGTTTGTAGTCTCCGTGAAGAATACAATGATCATAAATCTAGCATCACCGCACGTCAATTCCCGAATGCCTTCAATGAAATTAATGTCCTTGTTAGTGACCATGACTACATGTTTGGGAAAACTCGTGCCTCTACTCCGTTTGTTTATCAGGTTTTTGCTGCTACAACCGATAATTCTAGTTTTTCACAACCTTCTGATTTGTCACAACCTTTTGTCTATCATCATCAACAACTTGTTGCTCAGATAAGTTCCATTGCATCTACCCTTGTTTATCAGTTGATGCTTGCTGCAACTTCAGGCCCTCAAGCTTTCTATGGTTCTCGTCAGCCCCATAACAACAATCGTGGCAATCGTCATCGTTGAATTTCTCACGGTAGCAACCGTGGACGTAGTGTAAAAACCTCCCCAAGAATACACACAACAAACCATCTAAAAGATGAGATAATCAAATACACATTTATATAAACCAACACCATGTTGTTTACAGATTAAAGATCAGATCAAAACTATACAATATGAAGGATCTCCAACAAGAGCGGGTTGTACAAAAATTAAAAGTAGGATAAATCTAGCATAATTTTCTCTTGCCTTTATTCTCAGTCCCGCGTTGTCCTGCAAAAATAAGTTTTATAATAATTGAAGGTTAGACCAGAAGGTCTAGTGAGTGAAATTCCCTCATATGAAATTCCATACATTTATAAAATGTTAATAATAAATTCAATCCCAATATCAGCCATTAAAAACTGAACGACTATCCAATCAATCCTCATAATTAACTATACCAGATATCATAGTTGTCCCACTATTAATCAGCCATTCCTTACTAATTATCGCGGCTACCCCGCCATTTTCCATAGGCATCCTGCTAACTATCACGGCTGGCCCGCCATCTATACGCAGGTACCTTATCAATTATCTCGACGGACCCCGTCTTTTACCACAAGTACCCTGCCAACTATCACGGCTGGCCCGACATCTATATGCAGGTACGTTATCAATTGTCGCGGCTTTCCCGCCTTTTATAAAACCACTATGTATATATATAACATATATAAACATAACAATTAAACTAGGGATAACATTCACAAGAATAATACTGATTATATATATTCTCATGGTCTAATAAAGGGTCAAGGACTGCCCTCATCAGACAACCCTTAATGATAAAGCCCTCTCTCCGGTCATGGACTGTCCTCATCGGACAACCCTTAAACAATGAAGCACCCTTTCTGGTCAAGGATTGTCCTCATCGGACAACCCTTGAATGATGAAACCCTCACCAGGGAAGTACTTAGGCAATAAGATGCTCTCACCAGTCAACACTATGAAATATCAATATTTAAACCGAACAATGCTTTGTCCGATGAGCATCCTCTCCGAACAAGGCATTGATCGATCAACATATAATCCGGTCAACTCTTAAAACCCCAATCACTTTAACCCTTCAACACTTGGGTGATAAAGTGTCCAAATCGGACGACACCGTGTCCGATAAAGGTCTTTACCGAACACTTCATCCGATGAAGTCCTCATCAAACAATACATCAATTATACAAGTTGCTCACCGGTCAAGGCATGATCGATGAGGGACTCTCATCGGACAACACAATGTCTGATAAAAAGCCCCTCATCGGACCATGCACATATATAAGAACATATACATATGAAACAACAGTTTAAGACAATGAAACCAGAATTTACGAACAATATATGCTCAATTTCAAGATTGTTTTAAATAAAAACTCACCTAAAAGATGAAAACTGATTCCTCTTGAGCTTTTGCACTCTTCCCTCAATTCTATTTTAAGAAAGGTTTCTGATGAAGACTTAAAAGAAGAAAACCTTTCTTTAAAAAAAACTTTCTATTTATAGCAAGGAATAAAATGAGGCGATGCATGCAGCCTCACCCATCACATGCATAATCAATTTTTTATTAATCATAAGGAGGAAAAAAGAAATTTTCAACATTTGTCCCTCAATACAACACATACCAAATTCTACCCCTAAACTAACCGATGTTAAAAACCTCATGGAAACCCAACCATCTCTAGATCAAAAACCAAGCATTACACGTAGGTATGGCCGCCAATATAGTTGGGCATCCAATCAAAACCCATTATACAGAACTTGTAACCGCTATGATATTAGGCACCTCCCATCATAGTGTCCTAATCGTGATCCATCCACCATTTATCCTAGGCAGAATGCTAACTTTGCCAACAGCCGTGCCTCCCCATCTGTTGAATCAACTTCATGGTTTCCTGACATAGGAGTGAACAGTCATGTTACGCTTAACTTAGCAAGCATGGATAACTGTGAAGCTTATCATGGTAGTGACACTCTCCATGTTGGTAATGGTAAATGATTCCCTATACTTCATATTGGCTCCTACCATTTAGTCATCACACAAACCCTTTTGTCTATCTAATATTCTTCACATTCCAGAAATGACCAAAAATCTTATGTCCATAAATTTTGTTTAGATAACAATGTTTTGAGATAAAGGATCTAGGCCCTATAAATTACTTCTTGGGTATTGAGATTGTCCCTCAAGGACCAAAAATAATATTTTCTCAAAAGAGGTACATTTTGGAGCTCTTAGGATGAGCAGGCCTCTCAGACTCTAAGATTATGCCTTCCCCCATGACCTCGTCCTGCTCTCTATCTTTAGCTGACAGTAATGCTTTTTCTAACCTAGTGATAACTCTCAATTTTGAGAGTTATTTGTTGTTCAATACTCCTATTTTTATATGTCTTATGTACCCACTTTGCTTCTATTTGGTATTTTTGATCCAGAATATTTTAAGAGGTGATGAAAGGTCAAGAATTTGATTATTTTCTGAAAAACTGTTGTTGTTGGTAAATTGCCCACTATGTGTTCACATTCTGCCTACTTCATATTTTCCTTAAAGCGGATTCGGACAAAATTTAAATACTGGCTCTCCTGGTATTTAAGGGAATTAATTCTGAAATCAGATCCGAAAATCTTGAATTATTTGAAAGAATGGGCCTGGTTGAATAAAAAAATGTCTTAAAATGACCTTACCTTTATTTTAATGAAAAGGCCATCTTTATCTTTTTCTTATTTTAAGGGTTAGACAACTTTACCTTTTTCATCCTTTCAAAAAAGGTGACAAGGCCAAAAAAGTAGACATGGAGTGATGGGAGGTCATTGCCCTCTAGGCAAGAAGGTTTTCTTCCTTTGGGTAAAAGGAATGTCTGGTTTTCACTTTTCCCCTATAAATTGAAGCATTCTCTCACTTGGAAGCAATCAACCTTGGAGCATTTACTCTTAACTGAAGATCTGGAGTAGTAGAGCAAGTTTTGTTTATGTATTTAATTTTATTTTCGTATTTAGCTTTTAATCTCGCTACTGTGCCTTGTATGCCCCCTGTGGGCAATAGTTTTAGTAAAATTTCCATTCAAGTATTTCTAATGCATTTTTCTTCTTCTTTTTCTTCTATTTTTTATAATTTCATTATGAGCTAATCACCTCTTTGGGTGTGGTTGTGAGTCAAACTTAAGAATTTGAAGGCCTTGGGTGTTGCCATTTTTATTGATTCTTAAGCTTGGTCATTTAAGTTGGGACTTAAGCTCAACGTAGATAAACTGATCACTTTGAAGTGTTAATATTAGTTCGTTGATCCAGAGATGGGCGGATTTGAAATATGGCTTAAGTGATGCACAAAGATTTGAGAAAGTCTTTGATAATCACGTAGAGATACGGATTCTGCATGTTTTTAGCTAATGTTCAAATATTAGTCGAGTTTATACTACAAAGAGATTTGAGTATAAATATTCAAGCTAGTGGAACCAGATGTCTTTTTATTTATTACCTAATTCGGCAAGTTTAAAATTAATAAAACTGGACGCTTTGTGGGCACAATATATAAGAATTCACTTTCGAGAGATTGGAATTTTTATAGAAGTCCCATGAGTTTCTGACCATACTGTTCCAACAATCTTCTTAAGGGAAACTTACACACATACCAATCTTTTAACTTTAAGGTTTATTACGTATTTTAAAGCTTTGCACCAACAAAACTCAATTTTTATTCTCAAACCGAAACAAGCTGAAGAAGTTCATGAAACTCTCTGATTCTCAGTAGTCCAATCCCTGTGGAAACGATCTTGGAACTATACCACTTTTATTTGAAGCAATCATAGTGTCGGCATGCACTTGCACCGCCACCGTGGGGACTTTGTGCCCACTGTGTGAACACTTACGATTCCAAGCCATCAAGTTTTTGGCGCCGCTGCCAGGAATTGGCGTGATTTTTATCCTTAGATATTGATTTTCATTTGAGCCTTGGTCATTTGTTTCAATCGCATTTCTCGTGTTGTATGCCACGGCTACAACACGGTGAGCTTTTACCTCTTGATCTTGCGTTAGAAAGAACCATTAGGAGACGAAGAAGAGGTAATCAGCAAAATCCCACTTTAAACCGTACCATGGGGGATTCACCTCCTCGGGAAGCCATGGTTAAATATGCCGATGACAAAAATGGAGGCATGCAGGACTTCGCAACTCCCAAATTTGGTCAATTGGCCTTGGGAATAGGTAGACCCGAAATGACAACAATAACTTTTGAACCCAAGCCGGTAATATTTCAAATGATTTCCGCAATGGGTCAGTTTGAGGGATTATCTTCGGATAATCCGCACTCTCATTTAAAATCTTTTATAGAAATGACGGATCATTTTAAAATTCATGGAGTCACACAATAAGCCTTACGCTTGTCACTTTTCCTTTACACATTAAAGGATAGAGCTAGAGCATGGCTAAATTCTCAACCACCAAACTCAATCCTTACTTGGAATTATTTGGCGGAAAAATTACTAAAAAAATACTTTCCTCCGACGAGGAATGTAAAAATTGGAAATGAAATTATGATGTTTCGCCAAGAAGAAGATGAAGCAGTATCGAATGCATGGGAGAGATTCAAGGAACTTCTACTGAAGTGTCCTCATCATGGAATCCCTCATTGTATTCAATTGGAAACTTTTTATAATGGACTTTCCAGTGCCGCTAGAATTATTCTTGACGCAACGGCCAGTGGCACTTTCACAGCTAAAACATATAACGAGGGATATGATATCTTGGAGCGAATTTCTAATAATAATACTGAATGGTCTAACCCTCATGCTGTTGTTTCTAAATCTACCTCGGGAATTCATGAACTTGACGTCATTTCTTCCTTGAATGCCCAAATTGTAGCTTTAACTAATTTGATTAAAAAAATTTAAACTTGAGTGGGGAAAAGAGTCAAGTTCAATCCATAATGTCAAATTCATCCATGACTGAATCTTGTGTTTTCTGTGGTGAAAATCATTCTTATGAGTTTTACCCCGGAAACCCCATTTCGGTAAATTATGTTGGGAGCCATGCTAGAAATAGCCCATTTTCTCCCACATACAATCCAAATTGGAGAAATCATCCAAATGTTTCATGGGCTGGAAACCTGGACTTCAAACCCCCAGGGCAACCAAGTCCAAAATCGACCTCCGAATCCCCCGGGATTCCATCAAGGTGGTCATCACATGCAAGGAGGTCATCACATGTACCAAAATGGGTAATCTTCACAATCACATGCACCTAGGCAACAAAATGCATCAGAGAGTAATGGTTCACTCGAATATTTACTTAAAGGTTTTATAAACCAAACCAATGCCACCTTGAGGAATTTTGAGACACAACTCGGCCAATTTGTTGTTGATGATCTCAAGAATAGACCTCAAGGAACCTTGCCTAGTGACACGGAAACACCTACGGAACATTTCAAAGCCTTAACTGTAAGAAGTGATGAGAACTTGGGAGAATCTAATAACACAAAGGAAACACCTACTGAACCGATTTGTCAAGAAAATGTTTCACATTCTTTTGACACATCAAAATTTCCAATTCTGTTTCCTCTAGCTGAAGTAACACATAATCCAGTTTCTGCCCAAAAAACAGCAGCTCTGCCTAGTTCTAGCACCACCCAGTCTCCAATTGACACTGCTCACAGTGGGCAGAAAGTGCCCACTCCCCAACAGAAAAAGATTGGTCCAACAAATTTAGATCTGAGAGATTTACCTTTTCCAAGTAGGATGAAAGCCAAAAATGTGGATGTACAGTTTAAGAAGTTCTTGGACATCTTTAAGCAACTCCACATTAACATACTTTTGGTAGAAGCTCTCGAGCAAATGCCTAGCTATGTTAAAATTTTGAAAGTCATCCTTAATAAAAAAAGAAGACTAAGTGAATTTGACAAAGGAATGTAGTGTTCTTCTTACTTGCAAAATTCCCCTAAAATTAAAAGACCCGGGAAGTTTCACCATCCCGTGCTCAATTGGAGGGAAAGAAGTAGGTCATGCCTTGTGTGACCTTGGGGCAAGTATAAATCTCATGCCTTTGTCCATCTTTAATAAATTGGGAATAGGGAAAGTCCGACCAACCACCGTGACTTTGCAACTAGCGGATAGGTCTTTGGYGTATCCAAAAGGCAAAATTGAAGWCATTTTGGTTAAAGTGGACAAATTCATTTTTCTGGCCGACTTTCTAGTGTTAGATTATGAAGCCGATAGGAATGTTTCGATCATCTTAGGAAGACCCTTTCTTGCTACAGGTAGAACATTGATTGACRTGCAAAAGGGAGAATTAACCATGAGAGTGAACGACCAACAGGTGACTTTCAATGTGTTTAAAACTCTTAAGTTAAATGGGGAAATTGAGGAYTGTTCGTCTATTTACTCAGTAGATGAAGATTTAGATMTAAGTTTGATAGACTGTGTTCACAGTGGAGACACTGTGGGTATAGCAGAAGACATTTGTGATGAAGACTTACTTGAGGATATAGCTGCCTTTGAACAGTTAGATTTTAAAGATATACCAACCCAAACCCCATCCATTGTAGAAGCACCCGACTTGGAGTTAAAACCAATTCCTTCACATCTTAAGTATGCATATCTTATGGAAGGAGAAAAATTGTCTGTAATTGTTTCTTCCAACTTAAGTAGTGAACAAGAAGAAAGGATGATAGATTTGTTGAAAGACCACAAGAAAACCTTTGGTTGGACCATAGCTGATATTAGGGGAATAAGTCCGTCWCTTTGCCAACATAAGATAATTTTGGAAGAAAATAGTGTTGGAAAGGTGCAACCTCAAAGAAGACTAAATCCCATCATGAAAGAAGTAGTTATGAAGGAATTTTGAAGTGGTTAGACGCGGATATCATATACCTCATTGCTAGTAGTGGTTGGGTAAGTCCGGTATAATGTATGCCAAAGAAAGGTGGTACCACGRTAATCACYAATGACAAAAATGAACTTATCCCAACTAGGACCATTATCGGGTGAAGAATTTGTATGGACTATAGGCAATTGAACTTAGCCACTAAGAAAGATCATTTCCCTTTACCTTTCATAGATCAAATGCTAGATAGATTGGCCGGAAAAGAATTCTATTGCTTTTTGGATGGATACTCGGGATACAATCAAATTCACATTGCACCCGAAAATCAAGAGAAAACTACTTTCACTTGTCCTTTCGAAACTTTTGCTTTCCGACGTATGCCATTTGGTTTATGTAATGAGCCGGCTACTTTCCAATGTTGCATGATGTCTATTTTCTCAGATATGATTGAGGATATCATGGAAGTTTTTATGGATGATTTTTCGGTTATTGGCACTAATTTTGAAAATTTTGAAAACTTAAAGAAAAGTTTGGAAAGATGTGAGACCCATGCAGAGTTTAGGTTCAAACCGTGCAGAGTTGCAATTCGGAAGTCCTCATTCAGAGTAAGCGGTGGGGCCTCAACATAGTGCATGAAGAGAGTGAGCTCTTTTTCAACACTTACGTGCAGAGCCTCTCTATAGCTGTGTCTGAATCAAGGAAGAAGGGTTAGAGTGACGACCTAGCACAAACAGAACCTCTATTAAAGTCTGTGTAAAGAATGAAGTCAGGTTTGACAGACACAACGGTGAATAATTTTTTTGAATTAAGACTCAGATGGTCCACAATTACAAGTTTGAAGTCCACTTTAGAGTAAGAGGTCGACGCTCAACGCAGTSCATGAAGAGATAGAGCTGTTTCTGAACACTTAAGCGCAAAACCTCTGTAAATCTCTGTATGCAGTACGGAGCCATGGTTAGATTGACAACATACCACGTGCAGAACCTCTATTGTTGTTTGTATGAAAAAGGGAAAGCTTAAACGTAACATATGAAGAGATAGAAGTTTTTCTTAACACTTATGTGCAGAGCCACTGTGTTACTCATGCAAATAAGTTTAACATTAAATCCAAAACAAAAAAATAACGAAAGCTTATAGGAAGTTACATTCACCAATTAACAGATCATTGTACAAAATAAAATCCAATCACCAAAACAATAACGAATACGAGAGACAGTGTACTTGTACACCATAACCATGAATATTGCTTCTGAAGTGGAGGAATTGTTAACGTTCTTGTAGCCGCTCCTTTTTGTTAAATTAGGAAAAAGGAAGAAAAACATAAGAAGTTCTCGATACTCCAACAAAAATTAAAAAGAAAGAAAATTCATACTTGAATTAAAAACATAAGTCTAATTGAAGGCAGAGCTTATAAATGATCTATGTTTTACATTAACTATTCAAAAGTACAATATGAGTGAAAGGAAAGTACAATGCTTGAAAGCTAAAAAAAGGCTAAGACAAGAAAATCTAGATGTTTTCAAGCCTCATGAACCTCYTAAGAAGTTATCAAACTCYAACAGATTWCRGATTGACCTTAGAACAATTTTGCATTMTTCTCTCGCTCCAGGGGTGGTATCTCTACTTCATGTAAGATGGTCTCTACGATAATTCACATAGAAAATGGCCTTTGTACATGATACACTTACCTCTTAAGTAAGAGCTCTGTCTGTCCTCGTGCTATGCAGAACCTATGATCCTGATTTTYCTGCTTCATACAGAACTGCRCWGACGATCTGCCTGTACCACGCAGCGCACCTGAATTTGCTTACATACTCATTACAGATCTGCTTTTCAACTGGCAAGAACCTCCTCGTCCAAAAATAGTTAAATACTTAAAAGCACATATAATTTTCATGAACATGAAAATCAAACATTACAGAAGTATGTACTGCAAATGAGTTTAATATCAAATCCAACACAAATAATAATGAAAACGTGTATCATAACATCTGCACCAATGCAAAAATAATTGTCCAATGAAAAATTCAATCACCAACACAATACCAAATGGGAACATCAATGTAATTGTTCATCAAAAAGAAGAATATTACTTCTCAACCTTAGGGATCTTTAATGTTTTTATAGCCGATCCTTTTCCTTCCTGATCGGCATCATACAAACTTTCAAAAAGCCGCTTCCTTTCAACTCTTTTGCTAAGCCTTCTCTCACACAACTTTTCTTCTGAATCCGGACTGTCTGCAGTGCTTTTATCA